AATTCCTCTTTTAACCCAAGCTAGGTTTCTGACAATTTTAACAGAGTTCTAACCTCCATGATAACCTAAAACAACTACTGTAACCATTCATTAGAAAAAGTTTATTTTTCTAAAGTGGAGGAAAACAATGAGACTCAGTATCAGTGTTCTAGAAAATTTGGGAACCATATGTCAAAATATGCAGTGAAAACTATAGAGTCCAGAAGCACATGGATGGCTGTCACTGGAACTGCCTCTCCCTTAACCCTCCCAGTCATGAAGGCCATGCTCAGAATTTCACGTAGTGCCCTGCTACTAGACAGAGCCCTCTTCCAGAAGCTCAGAAATCACAATAACCTTGAGGATAACAGTAAAAATACATCAACATGTACTTCAAAACATGATTCATTATTACATGGATTTAGACCAGATCAAATTCCTACAAGTCCATATAAGGTAAGCCAGGCTAGATTGTAAAGAACATGATCATTCATTCATTAAGTACCTATTATGTCCCAGGCACTAGGTCAACACCAGAAATGTCTCAGTGAACAACAGTATTTAAGTCCCTGTTCTCATGGAGCTTACATTCTAGTGGGATGACAAACAACAGTAAACATGTAATTGCAGATTTCAAAAGTGCTATGAAATAAACTCACATAAAGAAAGCTGTACATTTTTTGTCAGATAGTGGTATATTCTTAACCAGGTGATCAGGCAAAACCTCTCAGACATGGGGTCATTTAAGCTAAGACTTGAAGGATAAGAAAGTGGGCCAAGGGGAAAGGACAGAGCTTGGGCTGTGCTCTAGCCTTTGTGATAAGTAAGAGGTGAAGCTGGAGCAGTGTATCAAGACTAGGTCTTGCAGGGATGTTTAGTCAGTACAATGTTTTATTTTTTTGTGTAATAGAATGCCATCATGGACATTATAAAAAGATCAATTTGGCTTTCAATGTAGATAATAGATAGTGAGGCAAAGGTGGGGTGGTACCAAGGAGGAGTAAGTAGTTAGAGGTGTTCAGTTTTGCAAGTGACAGATTATCATGGCCTATACCAGGATATCTGAAGTGGAAAGAGACAATTTAATGGATGGATAAGAAATACATTTTGAGTATAGAACTCAGGAGTCTCAACAATCCAAGAGAAAATTGATGTCATTGTAGATTATCTACACCAGTAATTCCCAAACCTTTGTAGCTAGTTAACAAAATCATCTAGACCTGAAGAAGTCATGGCCTTTTGCAATTAATCCAGGTCGGCTTTATTTCCACACTCCAAATGACCTGGGCTGCCTCCTCACATGGCCTCAAATGACCTGGGCTGCCTCCTCAGCATGTGTTAAGAGGGTAGACTAATCTCAAAGCCGTAACAACACTTAAGAAAGAACTGGGTGTCCCAGGTTCGGGTTTACTGACAAGCAAATTCAAGTCCCTATAACCATTCTAACCTCAAACAGCAGGAAGGTTTGGGAAAATGAGCTCTTATATTCAATTGACTTCTCAAACTAAACTTGTTTTAGATATTTAACATTGTTAAGAAAATTTTTTAAGTGTGTGGTTTTGTCTTTCGTAAAAGGCAAAATAGTAGGCATCCATGAATTTTTGATAATTAGTGGGTCTTTCTGAGCTTTAGGATTATCTTCATTAACAGTTAGGAACTGGACTTGGTAAACTGGCCTGAAAGAGCAGACTCCTAACAGCAGAAGCCAAGAGGGTGTGGCTTTAGTGCCTCTTACTCCCCAGGATCTCCAACAGTCCTCCCCAGAATGAGCCATGACAAATAAATATCAACACTACATAAAAGCAATGTAGTTGTGACCACTGGGGGAAAAAGAGCCGCCCCAAATAAACATATGGTCTAAGTAAATGAGTTCCCTAATCTCCCCTATTGCTACCCAAAGATCCTCTTTTATGGAAATTCCAGAATGACCCCGGGCTCCAGGAAGTATCTAATACTAGTCCAAATTCTTCCCCATATATACTAGTGTAAGCTTAAAATTCTACTAGTTTTTCCTCTGCTTCCAGCAAAGATGAAGTAGTAGGGGCCAGAAAAACACTCCCACCTGAAACAACCAAAAACGGGAAAAAGTACGCAAAAATAGCTTTCAAAAGACATCAGGCAGCCGGGTGTGGTTGGTGCAGGCCTGTAATCCCCACAGCTCGGGAGGCTGAGACAGGAGAATCTCTCGTTCAAAGCCAGTCTTAACAACAGCGAGGCGCTAAACAGATCAGAGAGACCCTGTCTCTAAATAAAATACAAAATAGGGCTGGGGATATGGCTCAGTGGTCGAGTGCCCTAGTTATTGTCTTGAAAAAGTTTTCCAGACCACAGTTAGGGGAAGGGACAGATAGAGATATTGATTGTGGTGATAGTTTCATGGGTTTATATGACAAAACAGGTATACACTGTTTATTATATGTCAATTATACCTCAGCAGGGCTGTTAAAATGAAATCCCACTGAGAGGTAACCATTTTAAATCTTATTATTATTATTATTATATTTTCATACTGTGTAGTTAGTAAAAACCCAGGCACAAAATCTTACAGGACCAGCAAGGATATTGACTAGGAAGTCAAGAGAAAGTATAGAGATGCGGGAAAGAGAGCAGGATGGAGGAAATGTTAACAAACTTGACCACTTGACCAGTGTGTTGAGAGCTGGAGCCAGCAGGGGCAGTCACAGGAAAGGCATGGTGGTGACTTTAGTTGCCACCATAAATGAGCAGCATTACTGGCATTTAGTGGACAAGAGTCAGAGAAGCTTAATTCCCACAATGTGTGGGACCACTTCACATGATCATGAATGGTGCACCATGAAATGCTAATAACACCCCACTGGAAATTCTTAGTATAAAGAATTCAGTTAGACTAGCTGTTGTCCCTTCCTTAATGTCACCGTTATCTTTATAATGTGTGTTTTGAGGTTTGCAATGCTAGCAGAATATTTATGAGCCAATAAGATTTTCTGATGTTTTAGTCTCTATATAATCAGAATCTCCAAAGCCCTGAGAAAGCTGACAGAAACACAGAGAATGTTTCTATAGCTAACTCTTTAAACACTTTTAGGAAAATTACAGTTATTGTAGCCAATTTTTGACCAGTTGTCTTGTCCAAATAGTTAGTTGTAAGATTCTAAAATTAAATTTTTTTTGGGGGGGGGGTGGGTGGGAGCGGTGCTGGGGATGAAACTCAGGGCCTTACACATGCTAGACAAGCATTCTACCACTGAGACAAATCCCCAGCTCCAAAATAACTGTGTTTTTTTTTTCTTTTTGAGATGGGGTCTTACTATATTGTTGCACAGGATGGTCTTGAACTTCCAGACTCAAATGATCCTCCTGCTTCAGCCTCCTAAGTAGCTTGGACTACAGGAACATGCCACTGTGCTTGACTCCCAGACCCCAAATAAAGCATTTGAGGTTAAAATTCTATAAAGCAAATGGTGATGTGTTTCCAGTAAGGGGGAAAAATTTGCAAACCTTTTTTTTTTCATGCATGAGAAAAGAAGTTATAATAATTTAGGATTAGAAGAGAATTTATAGATCCGCTTGTTCAAACAGTGACTGAAAGTGCAGTGAGAAAAGGCAAGCTTTTCCTAGCAACCTCAGCATGCAGTATGGTCACCACAGGCCTCTGAAGACTCCCCAGGCAGGACTTCACTTTTCCTGTACAGCATTTTGCAGTGTTTTCCTAACATGGATCTCTCTCCTTGCCATGCCTCTCTTTCAGGACCCCAAATTAAATTCATTTTCTCTATGCCTACAAATCCCATGACAGACAGCTCTCAGAATCTTATGCTCTCCTCTTTTTTCTAATGTCTAGATTCATAATTATATAATAGTATCATTCTTGAAGTTATGCAACTTGGGAATCTCCTTATACCCAGATTTCTCTCTCTCATTACAGACTGAAATTTTAACTCCAGATGAATTTCTCCACCGGAGGACACCCTCTAGGATCTCAGGCTTACTCTGTCTCAAACTTAATTAAAAAATATTGATTGGGCCTGATCCCTCTGCATCCTTATTTCTTTGCAAGGCATCACCACTCAATTACCCCAGCTGCAAACCACAGTGGTTTCTCTCTCCATCTTTCCCATTTTTCAATCAACTGCAGTCTTGTAGATTCTGCCTTTGAAATGTTCCTTCCATCCCTTTTTCTTTATTCTTGCTACCTCCACCCCAGTTCTGGTTCTCACTACTTTCCACTAGTCTTTGATCTTTCCTTGCTTCAAATTCATTTTAAGCACAACTGTTAGATTATTTTTTCTGTAGTAATGATTTCTATCATATCCTCCTGGTTGTACTTTGAATAGTTTTCTCAATTTCTATGAAATGAAATGTAAAATCTTCATCAGGCCTTTTAAGAACCTCCAAAATATGGGCCCAGTTGCACTTTTCAAAGACTGCTAGACTGCTTACTGTTCCTAATATGTTTTCCATTTTTACCTTCCTTTATCTTAGTTTACACTATTCCCACCATTTGCTATGTCCCATTCCATGTACACTACCCCTTTACGAACTGTCATCTGACATTCTGACTTCTACCCAAACTGAATATAATCTTTACCCTCTTTAAATCTCTTTGACACTGCTCCAAATCTTTTAGGACCTTTAGCATGTTTATGTTGTATTATCTTTGTGCAAATGTAACATCCTGGTTAGGGTTCATTTCTGAAGGATAGAAATTATACTTTACTCATCCGTGTACTCATCATAGAGCCTAACATTGTGTCCTGCACAGACCCAGAGCTCAATCAGTGTTTTTAAATTCAGTTTTAATTATTTATTTATTTATATTTAGACCTTTATATAGTCCATGGAAATTAGAAAAAAATAGATTCTTTTGCATTTGAATTCAGGAGAAAGTTCTCTCAAAATACCTTCTTCATCATTACACGTATGAGATATATAGAACTCAGTTCAAAGCCATTAGAGAAAAAGCAAAAAGAAAAACAAATTGCAATATGAAATAACTTTTGACTAACAAGTTAAAAACATACTCTAAACAACAATCTCACCTGAGAGAGGATTCATTCAGACTTCTACATTTTTTGCTTCTCCAAAATATAAGGCCATTATTCTCTTCCTTGACTTAAAAAAATTAAAAAGGCATTTGATTATTAATTAAACAAGTTGGTTGGGTTTACAAAGAAAACCTAGCCACATGTTTTCATTTGGTGACCATTCATAAATCCTCATCAAAACTTGCAAGTTGTCCAAGAATACAGTTGGGCACCATGATAGAGCAAAAAACCTTCAGCTCTGACATTAAAATGTGCTCAAATTCAGACCTTTCCCATAATTTCCTATGTGAACTTTAAAGTTACTTTGTTGCTCTAGCCTCAGTATCTTAATTTGCAAAATTAGGGCACATCCTGAATAGAACTCCTATATCTCAGAAATAATACCAAGAATGGAAAAATGGTATGACATCAAATTAAAAATCTTCTGTACAGCAGAGGAAACAACAATATGAAGAGAGAGCTTCATGTTGGGTTAGGATTAGGGTTAGCTCAGTAGAACTGGTCACATTTCAAGTACTCAGTGGCCACAGATAATATTATTATACATAATAATGCTAGATATAAAACATTTCTAGGATATACCTGAAATTAGTATTTAATAACCCAATCTACGAAAGACCTTGAACAACTAATACAGCTCACTACTTTCATTCTGTTCCCATCAGTACTGTCCATTTAAAGTTTTCTATAGTTTGGATCTGGAATGTCTCCCAATGGCCCACTGTGTTAAAGGATGCATCCCCAGCTCATGGCACTGTTGGAAGGTGGTGGAACATTTGAAATGTGGGGCTAATAGTAGGACATTAGGTATCAAGGACATGTCCTTGAAGAGAATATTGGAACCCCAGCCTCTTTCTTCCTCTTTACCACCATGAGGTAAGCAGCTTGTTTTACTATGTGCTCCCCTCCATGACATGCTATCTTGTCACAGGCCCATAAGCAACAGTGTCAACTGTCCATAGCTGAAACCTCCAAAACTGTGAGCCAAAATAAATCTTTCCTCCTGATGATTTATATCAGATGTTTGTTATAGTAAAAGCTGATCAACGGAGTTTAAAAGCCATCTCTTTCATAAAATGTAAAAAGTATGACTCAAAGTGCTAACCATACTCCATATAAGAACACATGTATACTAAAAAAAAAAAAAAACTTCCTTTTCTCTATATTTCTGAAAAAGTTGGACCTAATTGGGAATCCTGTGAAAGTGTGATCATTTAAACTAAGTATTGTTACTACAAATGACTTGCAATTTTGAACTTACTTTGTTCAGATGATTGAGTTGACTGGTGTGTGGTCACTTCTGCCATATGACAAAAATATTCCCTAGGCTTTCACCCAAGAGGCTTGGAGTCAGTCTTAATAATTATCTTTATTTAAATACTCAGTAGTTAATGCTTGGTGCTTCTCTAGGCATGATATCATCCTTATTAACATTAAGGATTTCGGTAATGACAATAAAATAGGTTTGAGCCTATATCTTGCTTCAGGATCACATATTACAAAATGTCTAGAGGGTGAACCATGGGGTCCTATGCAATATCTAAACCAAGGAACCAAGAGTTTTGAGGAAAACAAAATATAGCACACATCACTACTGGAATGATGGGAAAGGTTTTTTTTTCTTCTTCTTCCTCTAATATGTGCTATGGCTCCATGTAATCATGATAGTTTTGTGTTTCAAAAGCTCCTGCACAAAAGTTTCAGATGGTGCTTTTGGGTATGAAAGTAAAGAAAAGGTAGCAAATGGTGTGATCTATGTGTGTACACAAGATAAATTCTTCATTGCTTTAACATCATTTGCAAGGTTTCTAGGAATTTAAATTTCATAAAACCTATATATATTGTACTGTATTCTTTCAACGTGTAGTTTGATGTTCCTATATATGTTGGGGGGGAAATCCAAGAATAATTATGCTTGTGAACAAGGGTAAATATGCATTTAAGGCAACTAACACCAGTTGCACACCCTAATTAGTGCAACAAGAGACCTGGTAAGCAACCAGGGATTTGATAAGCCTACTAATTACAACAACTTTTACAAACAGTTTCCATGCCCTAGCATGTCAGTGCTTATCCATGAAAGTATACAAATAAAATTTGCCCACATTTTGTAGCTCTTCAATAATCCAAGAGGCTCTGAGTTTGACCAGAAGTGAAGTCTAGTGAACAATGAAAGACTAATAAAGGCTAGTCTGTCTACACTGGCTAGACACCAGAAGTAGAAGGGCTTATCCATGTGCCCCCTTGGACCTTTATTCTTCCATTCGTCTATGCAAAGGAATCAATCCTGATGGCAGACTCCCTTAAGTCAGCCATCCAGCTGTGTGCCCAATCCTGGCCATAACATTCCAGGTAATACAGTGACTACAGAGATGAGGAAATTGAGGTTCAAAAGTTTAAGTGATTTGCAGAAGATCACAGTCAGGAGATGTAAGAACCAGGATTTAAACCTGACTTAGCCAAGTCCAAGTTCATGCTCCATTTCTCTGCTTTTCACTAATTCCCAGTCATAGAGGTAGATACCTTAAAGGACTCTCATATATTTCTAGGTACATCTATATCTATATATCTTTATCTCTAAATATCTGACTATTTTTATTCACAACACTTTGACATCAAATTAGTGAGGTTGTTTACCTTCACCCAAAAACCAATCCTTCAATTCTCTGAACACCAAATGGTGGTCCTATAATTCAATTCAGTTCTGACACTAACTATCTGGAATTAGCATACACCACATAGGTTAAGGACTCAGTCACAAAAGACTGTCCCCACTTCAGATAGGTGTTCCCCCCTGAAGAGGGCCAGAGTAAGCCATTTCTAAATAATCCACATTAGCATATTGGCGATTTTGACCAGATAGTACTTGAAAAATAGTAGATATGCGAAGGGCTCACTGACCTACTTTAAAGTTGGGACATAAATTTCCCATGAAAAAAATTTAACCTTGCTACCCTACCCCATACCTAGAAAAGAACATTCTTATCCCTAGAGATAGGGAGCTGACACTAAGAAGAATCTGCACAAACTTAGTAAAATAACCTTTATCTTTCATTAGATTCCCCTATATATTTTCTGGTCACTTTCCTCTTGACAACAGCACCTAGCTAAATAAAACCCCTTTGATTTGTCTTTTCACAGCTCCACAATTTATCATTCTTTGTCAAGATAGTATATAAGCTTTTAGGTCTGTCTTCTTTTGGGGATCTCCATTTCTCTTCTATGAATCTTCCATTGCCATGTAAAATGATGAACATCAAATTAAACTTGCATGTTTTTCTCCTGTTAATCTACCTCTTGTTGATTCTCAAAGCCAACCACAGAGAGTAGAGAAAAAGTCTTTCTTTCCCCATGCAACCCTCCACCTCAGGTTCAATAATTTGCAAAAACAGTTCATGAAACTCAAGAAAGTGCTTTACTTACTATTACCTGTTTATTAGGAAGGATGCAAATCCCAAGCAGCCAAATGGAAGAGATACACAGGGCAACATGTTGGGGGTGGGTGTTCAAAGCCTCCCTGCCTTCTCCCAGCACACCCCTCTCAATGACTTCCATGTGTCACCAACCTGGAAGCTCTCCAAACCCAGTTGGCTTTCCAAACCCCATCATTCAGGAGTTTTTTTGTGGAAATTTCATTAGGTAGTCAGTGATTGATTAAATCATTGGCCATTGATGATTAACTCAGTCTCTAGACCTTCTCCCCTCACTGGAGGTCAGGGTAAGAGTGAAGGTGGAAAAGGACTGAAAATTCCAATTCTCTAATCACATAGTTAGTTCCTCAGACAACCAGCCTCAATCCTGAAGCTACCAAGAAGCTAACCAAGTGTCACTTCATTAACTTGAACTCAGGTATCATGGAAAGGAGTTTGTTATGAGTAACACTATTCCAATCAGGCCCATTACTTGGGAAATTGCAAGGATCTTCAAAGCTCTGTATCAGAAACAGAGGGCAAAGACCAAATACACAATTCTTATTGTATCACTCTCTCTCTCTCTTTGAAGATCATGAAAACAAACACTGTTATTGCACTATATATTATATTCTACATTTATCCACTTTTTCTTGGAGTTTTTAAACTTCTTCACAAGAAAAGCCCCAAATGTGAAACATAAAGGATGGCAGTTCTGGTAGCATCAGGTGAATGCCAGGAGCCCTGACTCCTTGTCCTCCCCTTCTCTCCCCACCACACCATGGACCTTCCAGCTGTCTTTGGGCACAACAGGAAAATCACCAGCAACAGACACTGAGTTCTTTAAGGACAAGATTGATCTAGTCATGTATTATAGTTGTTGGGTGGTGACAAAGATTCTTTCCTTAACCAAACGCTCCTCAGATTCTTCTAAGCTTTTCAACTAGGCCTCAACTTTTAGACTTCTATATTCTCTGCATTGTTCAGTTTTAGCTAAACTGTAGAGTTATATATACTAAGGTCTCTTTTTCCCTATTTCAGTAGTCCTGAGTAAAATCTGTTTTTACCATCTTAACTATTATTCAGCTCTGGTTTTCCTTGATAGTGAAGATTCCTAACAAATATTTCTGAATGAAAAATAAGTGCTCTTGATATGTTAGCCATAACTATTTGGGCAGGACCTCATGGCTTTCCTTGCTGGCTATAGAGGCAACTATCAAGGAGTATCCTAGAGGAAAGTTCACATTCCTTCAGGTTTCTCACTGTACTTCTTTACCAGGTTTGTTGTGGTTGAAATCTGTAGATGTCAATATGATTATTAAAATTAAATAAGAACTGACCAAATGGAATCTAAATTATAACTCATTCTTTAAAACAAACAAACAAACAAAAGCAAAAACTTGGGGCTAGGGATGTGGCTCAGTGGTAGAGTGCACACCTAGCATGCATAAGGCACTGGGTTCGATCCTCAGCACCACATAAAAATAAAAAATAAAGATATTGTGTCTACCTAACACTAAAAAATAAATAAATAAAATAAAATAAATAAAAAGCAAAAACTTACTGAATACAGTTCTCTTTCCTCCTTTATCCTTTTGTCCTGCCTTATTTCCTTTCTCCCTCCAAGCTTTCCTTCCTTTCCACATACCCTAAATTTATTGCAAATTGTGCCCAGCCACTGAGCTGCTGATAATGGATTGGTCAGTTCATCTTCAATTTACAGAACATTGGGTAGCTTTTCTACCTCATAAAGAAACTGATCTTACATCATTTTGAGAAATATATTCCATACCTTTTTTGTTGTTAGCATTGGCATGATGAAATGGAATTATTAATTTCCTGACACCTTTTGATTTTTCACACTCTTTTTTCAAAACAGTTGAAGAATAGATGATACGAATGTGTTGGTTGATTTCTCTATCAGGTGAACTCAAAAATTCTGGGTAATCATCAACCTGAAAAATAAAAGTAATCAAACTCATTGAAGACAAATATAACTGCTTACCCATTTGGGAATAATAAGTCCCCCAAAGGTAAAGGCAAGTTTAAACTGCATTCTTTCTTTTCATATTTCCACTGGTACAAATGAGTAGTAACATACTTTCATTTGTTAAAGTATATCCCACTCCACTTTTCATTTTGAAAATAGATCTCAAAATATATAATTAATTGGGTTTAAATAGGATTTTTCTATATAGCAGCCAACGTCCTGCAACAGTCTACAGAGATTCTGTAAGTACAAACATCACTATGGGAACTATTGGAAATGTGTTCTGCTTCCTCCAATTAAATCAAAATCTAATTTTGATTTAAAAAGAAAAAGGTCTCAATAAATACTGAGGACTTTTAGATTTTCTTTCAATAACTTACTTCCTTTTTCATGAAAGAAAGCAACAATATCTGATTGGAAATCTAAGAGTAAATCTAGAGAACCATACAGGCATATTTCAAAACATTAATTCAACAATCAGGAGAGATTCCACTATAGCCTTTTTCAAGAACTTAGAATTCAGATTAAAATATTTCACCATTTCATCTTTCTCTTTGTCACAAAGAAAGAAATATCAAATAATTATAACAATTTAAAATTCTAATTCAGAGTAACTGAAGAAAAATAGATCAATGAAAACTTATCAGGATCTACTTAAATTTAATATATAAAAATTACTTTTAAGGTATACCTCATGTTAGATGAAAGGCCCTGAGTTTGATCCCCAGCACTGCAATATATATATATATATATATATATATATATATATATATATATAATAAAAAATAAATACATCATATTTAAATATATATTAAAAACAAAATATATAAATATATCTTTATAAATAAACATACATTTTTTTCAAAATATAGAAAATAATTCATAGAGTTAATGAAACATAGCCCAATGTAGGTCTTCAGAGGATGTGCTTTAATTAATAATGACATTTTATAGTTAGTAAAGGAATTCTCTTGTGCATAGGAGTCTTCAGAAATGCCTTAACTTATTTCAAACTTTCATTCTCTAGAATTTTAAATGCCTTTTTATTATATATGATCATTTTAAATAAAAATAGAAAATGCATGTAAAAACAGAGAAGAAAACAGAAAACCATTATATATAATTCCACCCCACACCCCAGTACTTGGGATTGGGGAATTGAACCCAAGGCAAGCTACCACTGAGCTACATCCCTAGCCTTTTTAAAACTATTATTATTTAATTTTGAGATGGCATATTGATTAAATTGATGAGGCTGATATTGAACTTGCAATCCTCCTGCCTCAGCCTCCTGAGTAGCTGGAATTACAGGAATGTATGACCACAATTGTATTTTATAATATCTCAGATTGAAGATAATTTAAATCCTTGAACTGATATGAAATTGAGTTATTTAAAGTACAATCATAAGATACCAAGATAATTTCTAAGAGAAAATACTGAAACATTGGCTACTTAAGTATAATTTTAAGTATATATACTTCTGCTTCTTATTTTTATATTTATAGAGAAGCTATGTTTTGGTCATTTTAATGTATGTGCTTCTTTACAGTGGTTCCACTCTTGCAAAAGAGGTTTTTTGTTTTTGTTTTTGTTTTTGTTTGTAGCTATAACCCTCAGCCCTGAAAGCAGGTTACTTTTTACATCCATTTTTTAAAATATTTTTTAGTTGTCAATGGACCTCTATTTTATTTATTTATAAGCAGTGCAGAGAATCAAACCCAGTGCCTCATACATGGTAGCACGTGCTCTACCATTGAGCCACAACTCCAGCCCCCTCTACATTCATTGTTAAATGTTTTGTTGCCAAAATTCATATGCAGCAAAAATGAACACACACAAAAAAAACAAAAAACCCAATCAATAAATGGGCTAAGGAGCTGAACAGACACTTCTCAGAAGATATACATTCAATCAACAAATATATGAAAAAATGTTCAACATCTCTAGTAATTAGAGAAATGCAAATCAAAACTACTCTAAGATCTCATCTCACGCCACTCAGAATGGCAGTTATCAAGAATACAGACAACAATCTGTTTGTGAGGATGTGGGAGGAAAGGCACACTCATACATTATTGAAGGAAATGCAAATCAGTCCAAGCAATCTGGAAAGCAGTACGGAGATTCCTTAGAAAATTTGTAATTGGGGGGGGTGGGGGGGGGGCGCTGGGATCGTGGCTCAGTGGTAGTGTTCTTGCCTAGCATGTGTGAGGCACTGGGTTCCATTCTCAGCACCACATACAAATAAATAAAATAAAGGTCCATCAACAACTAAAAAATATTTAAAAAAAAGAAAAAGAAAAAGAAAACTTGGAATGGAATGACCATTTGACCCAGCTATCCCACTCCTAGGTCTATACCCAAAAGACTTAAAATCAGCTACTATAGTAATGCAGCCACATCAATGTTCATAGCAGCTCAATTCACAATAGCTAAACTGGAAGCAAGCTAGATGCCCTTCAATAGATGAATGGATAAAGAAACTGTGGTATACATACACAATGGAATATGACTCAGCATTAAAAAAGAGAATAAAATAATGGCATTTGCAGGTAAATGGATGGAGCTGGAGAATTTCATGCTAAGCAAAGTAAGCCAATCCCAAAAACACAAATGCCAAATGTTCTCTCTGATAAGCGGATACTGATCCATAAAGCGGGGAGGGGGCATGGGCAAAATGGAGGAACTTTGGGCAAAGGGGAGGGAGGAATGGGGGCAGGAAAGATGGTGGAATGATATGAACATCATTACCCTAGGTACATGTATGACTGCACATATGGTGTGATGCTACATCATGTACAACCAGAGAAATGAAAAGTTGTGCTGTAATTATATAAAATGAATCAAAATGCATTCTGCTCTCATATATACCTAATTAAAATTAATTAATTAGTTAAATTTTAAAAATGTTTTGTTGCCACTTTGACTATACAGGTAATGAAATATGATTTCTAATTTAATTAACCATATTAACATCTTTAAATATGTTTTGCAAAACTATAGTATTATATAACTATTTCAGACTAAATTTAGGTTCTAAAACCATTGCTTTCTCTTAACCAAGAGTCCAAATCTCTTCTGATAACCTCTGAACTTTTACCTTCCCCAAGTCAGATTCTAATTATAAGAAATCAATATATAAAATTTTCAGGATATCTTTTACCTCTAAAATATCCTAGAGATTTTCTGGAGGTTTCCTAAGAAAATCACAAAGACTCTTTCTTTCACCTTATAAAAAGAGAAGTGTTGAAACAGCTTATTTGGTCTATTTACAATTGTAAATTCCATGGAAAGAGTTGTCAAGTCAGAAGAGATGCTCAGCCTTCCTTAGGTTTAATTTGTATAGTTAAGTTGTTATAGTATAAATATTTTAGAAATTGCATGTTTTATGGGAAATCTCTGGGGATTTGCTAATGTTCTTGCCGCCCATTTGTCAGGGTCTTGGTGGTGCTTCGCTTCATCATATTAGACAACTGGAATGGATGCTACCAGTCATAATTTCAGTCATGCAGAATGCTGACTTGGCCACAGCCTTGCTTTTAATTTGCATATGCCATTTTCTATTCTAGTAAATTTTTTGAGGGATTATTTTGGTCTTATTAATGTAGTTAGTGAAAAATACAAATATCAAATTCCTTCTTCAACTCTCTTTATTTATATTCTTTTCTTATGCTTATTCCATTCTTGGCTTATATAAATGTTGTATCTTAGTATTATTATGTCATGTTTCATTGTAAATTGTGTTCATCAGATGTAACATTTACTGATTTCTTTGAAAACAGGCTTAGTGACTGTCCTTAGAGATATTTTTAAAATGTTTTTGCAAATTTATTATATTTGCTCTGCATGACACAGGAATACCCAAATTTTCCTGTCAGTTGCCTTAATCTTATTATGACCCTCTTCAAAACTTTCACAATTAAATGTTCTCAGAAATAAACTAACCACAGTCATTTGAATTATCTGACTTTTACAGATCATTTTGGTTTTACTCGAATGCTGGCTTGAGGGTTCAACTCTAAGCAAAAGATCACTTGTCTTCAACAAAGGATGGTCACAAAGCCTCCTGGAAAAGGATTAAACCAGTACTTTAAACTACTAACACTTCAAAGCTGTGCGGACATGGCTTAGACATGTCTCAGACCACACCTGAGTCAGGATGTCTAGCACTGTATTTAGGTCAATGAGTAGATGACTTCATGAGACTTCTAACTCAAGATTCAGCAGAGCAAGAATTAACTTTATAGAGTGAAGGAAGTTGAAAAAGAAAATTTTATTGTTGTTGTTTGGTTCGTCATAAAGTTATGAATAATGTAGCCAGAGCATAAGGATACTGGAAATTGGAATATTATTGATATTTTTTTAGTGTTCTATTCTGGGGACATAAAAGGAAGCTGTTTCTTAAATTATAACCCATATGTAATCCATTCTGCTTTTGAAAACTGAAAATTTTTAAATATCTGATTTTCCTTTACTCTCCAAAATACAGAAACTTGTACTATATTCAGTAAGAATCTGCCTTCCTTTTTATACCAGGACATAATTGGCCACATTGACTGTATAACCAATGGCTTACATGAAGTATCATATATAAGAAGGTTGTTAATGTAGCAAGGAAGAGCAAGCCACATTAAGATCAAACGTTGTTGGTTCTTATGAAGCCAGTGCTTACAAACCCCTCTGCCCACCACCACCCAGAAAATAGCCCTCATATTTGCTCAAAGAGTCCCAGCCTTACAAAGTGAGACATTTTTAGGACCTCAAGAAGAAATTTTTGGGACCTCAAAATTCACTCAAATTTATAGGTACTGCTAGAGAAGTCTGGTAGTTTCTTTGGCTTGGTTTCTCAGCCTTAGGATAGCAAACAGTAGAGGCTTTTGAAGGGCTAACTTGACATCCATTGTGAAGTTTTAGAACCTAAATTTAGTCTGAAATAGTTATATAATACTATAGATTTGCAAA